CTATGATTATTTTAAAAGTATGCTGAGTAAAAAATATCATGAATGATAATAATAATATTTGCAAGTAGTACGAAATTTTTCAGTGATCAATCATAATATTGCATGTCTAATATAGATTGAAACGATAGACTAAAGCTACATTTTCCACAAGATGCCTTGCTACCCCCAGAATCGTCATCAGTATCATCAGAATAATGACCCAATAAAACACAACTCATAATTTGAGTACATTTTGCTTAGTGAAAAAAAAATTATTAAATTATTTTAGTACTCTATTATACCTAATTAWGTAATTTATTAAATAACATGTATATAAAACACGAAAAAAAAACAAAGATTTTGGTGAAACAATTAAAATTTAATAAATGAAAAAAAAAATAATATAGTTTATAGGTGCACATAGTGTTATAATCACGTACGTGTTATAATCTTAATCAAAATCGAATTATTTTAATGACCGAAAATGTAATGCTTTTTGTTTAGTTTATGTTTTATTCAACGTAAAACCGTTTTTGAATATAAATTTATATCACTCAAAGTTTTATAATAAATTCATCCGGTTCTGGTTTCAAATCTATGCGCGACCCTTGTGTCTGACCGTCATGTCATAATACGCCGGACGCACTAACGCACCACATAATCGAAATTTCCGTGGCCCAGAGACGTCACAGAGTTATTTTTTGAACTTATGTCTCTGACCCCGTTAGGTCACTGGTCTGCCGTCGAGCAGAATTTTGTATTTAGACATCGCTGATATACATATATTATACGATATACTATGTATATACTATATATATAAATATATACACAGTGGCGGTGCCGAAAAAAGTTTTTCCCGACGGATGGGGTGGGATCAATAGTTCGCCAACGTTACTGACGACGACATGAACTCAGCAAGAGAGGACGGAATATTGTTCTTTATGCATTTAAATGGGTGGCCGGCAAACAACGTGTGCTCGACGAAACCGTTTAATATTATTGAAAAAATAAAAATAACATGGATTCCTTTAATTACTTAACCTATATTAGAAATAAATATTATTCTTATATTTCTATACCTAACCTTACTTACCATTTTATAAAACCAGCAGCATCTTTTTTTTTTTAATAAGAACTCTTACATCAACTAAATTTATTGTTGATCAGTGATCACATAGACTTCTTTTTTATGTCACATGATTATTTCAAACAAATTGTATATTTAGCTTAAAATCTGCTATATGCCTTGACAATAATTCGATAACGTTAATATTATAATAACTTAAGAATTTGATTAAATAGTTGATACTAAAAATAAAACATTATAACAATATGAAACTGAGTTTAAAAAAGTATCTTCTGTTAAAATTAGAATGTTTCTGTATTGTGATATTTATGTTTACTATCAACATAATATAACATTATTTTTAGGATATAATGTGTATATTTTAACTGTATAATATTTATAATATTTCAATTATAATCATAAAAAGGTGGTGAGTGGGTGACGCTCTGCTGTACAATAGGTTATAAGTGGGTCACTGCTATAATGGATGTCATTAAATTTCAATTCAATGATTTAATATCATTGTATACGAAAAACGATTTTGAGCGAAAGTGGTTTGTTAGCTTAGGATATATTTTTTGTTGTTATTTTGGCTACTGTAATTTGAATTAATATTATTTATACTTATTTTCATATTTATACATAATAATATACTTCAAAAATTTTAAATACTCAAAGAATATTTAAAATTACAAAAGTATACCATAACTTACTGAAATTGTTATATTTGCTTGTTTAGTGTGTAATTTAATGCAAATTTGAACATAACATCTCTATATAAAAAAATGTTTATATATTTTAAAATTTTTTTAGTTACAGAATTAACTACTTACGGGGAAGCTTGTTTTAAAATTTTAATCCTTAGTTATAAAAATAGAGTGTTATAATATGTCATAAATTGTCAACTATTACATTTTCAAGATTTTTAACCCAATAATGAAAACAATTTTATTGACATTTACAAAAAATAAAAATTAATAAAAAAATGAAAACTGAAATTATCAGTAAGCAGTAAGTTCAAAACGCCTCAAAATATGTGGAAAATGTCATTAAGTATACCTATAGGAAATAATGAAATAAATATTTTGTGTAAATCTAAAGTATTTACAGTAATCCGTTTTTGAATTACAACAAAATAAGAAAATTATTCCATGAAAATCGAGTGAATATTCAATGTTGTTAAAATATRAACTTCAAGCACTCATAAAAATGTAATTTGATTTTCCAGTGAACATATTTTTTTTGTAAAGGTAGATAAACGTATGAATAATATATTATTACATTTTCAAATCTTAGATTTAAAAACTTTAACAGAATCTTCAAATGTTTGTGATTTTAACTTATTTTGTCAAAATTCGAAATTTAGATGCTCATAAAAATCCATTATGGATTTAGGTTCAACTTTTTTTTTGACAAAAAATTACGAGAAATCTTGTATTAAATTTTTCAGTTTTTTTGCCGAAATTTTTTTATCGACATTACTCATAATAATTGAAAATTTCATATGCCTATAAAAAGCTCAACATTTTTTAAATTGTATAATGTACAGAAAATGATAATATTAAAATTCCTTGGAAATGTCTTGTATCTAATTTCATTTTTTTTTAGAGTTACTCCAAAACCTACATTTATAGTGTATTATAGTGTATATAATATATATTATGATTAGTTACGACAATTTGACGTTAATTTTAATGCTGAAACTATAAATTTAATGTTTTTATAATATTATTAAAATAATTGTATGTAACAAATGACAATTGAGTTTGATAAAAATTATTCCATTAAATCGATATGCGTTGTGGTGTGTTCGGTCACCATGCATCTACAAAATAATAATATTATGATATTATGATATTCAGCAAGCTATATTTGAATTCCACCGGCTGCCAGTGAGGGTTAGCAGTTGTCGGTGAAATGTATTCGGCCCCAGTTATTAGGTACATTAAACCCTCAAAATTAGAGACGAAAACTCTAATTTTTTTTTCTATTGAAGTTTCTTTTCGAAATTGTTATTTCCACCACAGTCGCTCGACGTATGCAAAGTCAATATTTATTAAATTATTTATTAATCCAGTTCCGGTGCATAGGCTTGCGTGTTATTATTATTATAAATATATTTTTTTTTTTTGAACGATTATAAATAAATAAATTAAAGTCGTATATCCTCGCATATTTTCGACGGTGGCACGATTCGTAAATTATTATACGTGACATATTATTAAAATAATATAAAATGCCTTGTTTATCGATCTTCAAAATTACGCTTTACCATGACAAAAAATCTATGTGATTTAACTATAGTAATTATACATACAAAAAAATGTATCTATTTTAGCCTATAGATAATGAAAATCGGTACAGAAAATTGAAAGCCTTTACGCGGAGGATAATCAATCTGATTTTTTTTTTTATGTTTCGAGAAAGATTTTTTAGACCTAACCTAGATTGGTTTTAATGAGTATTGCCTCTTCCTACATGTATATCATATTTTATGAAGGTTAAATTGCGAAGAAAAATAGAAATATTAGAAGAGTTAGCTATGTAGTATTAATATATTACGACAAACCTAACGTCAATTACAGTCGTCAGTCAATCATTATTTATTAATATAGGTAGTTCAAAAGAAAAATACAATTTGATATAAATCGGGATATTTAAGTTAAAACTAAAAACTTTTACAGTGATATATCTAGTTCCAACACAAAATGTTGTAGGACACCTGCTTGAAAATCTGTCGTACTATACCTACGAAAGCGTATAATTCTGATCAAATTAGTCTTATTCCAGTACAATGTAATATAAATACACTGTACACAGTGCAATATTAATAATTGTGTACTTTTAATCACACGGTAGCATTCGTGCTATAACAATATCGCTGAAACAATCTTAAATCGTTGTATTAATCAGAGTAATAATTATTATCAAACCACTTGAACTGAAATAACATCAACGCGAATTGATTACGAGACCGAGAAATCATTTATTACAGTATGACTTGATGAGGGACATCTAATACTTTAAATGTAGATAAAAATATATAATTGTCACGTGATGTTATAAATTTAAGTATTATCATTATCGAATTAGGCATAAGTTGTGGACATAATATATAAAACGACTGCGCCTCTATATTATTATACGGTGTGAGCTGAGATAACCTCAGCTTTATTATATTATAGGTATTAGATTATTAGACTATTTTTAAACTGAGTTAAATTAATTGTTTCAATTGTTAAAGTTAATAGTTACTAAATTTTTTTTTCTTAGTGAGTAAGTTATGTAGAAATCAACAATTTACTTGTAACAAAATATGTGTTTTTTTTTTTCATTATTGCTGTACTAATATATTAATATTATTTTTCTAATTTTCTTAAATACTAATATGGTATAAAAAATAAAACATTTTTAACGAACGAATTTGGCTAATTGTCAACAACAAGAACTCAAACCAAGTGTTATAGTGTATAATCAATAATATTTTTATGATATTTATTATCTAATAATTTATAAATAAACTTAATTRGGATTTTAATGAATGTAACTTTTATGTTAATATCAGTAAAAATCTATTAAGTTATCTAAGCTAAATCTAAAGAAGTTTAAATTAACTTAAGTAACTTTAACTTAATATCTCTCTTATGCCCAGCGTTTCCATTAGGTAATTAAAATATATAAAATAGTAATAAAATATGAACACATAAGTTATAATCATGTAACTAACAACTATGCATTAGGTACCATATAAAATATGTTATATTTTGTGCTATATTAACTATATCAAATATGAGTAATTATGTGTAACAAATATTAATATTACACATGCTTGTTTGCTACATCGTAATCCCCACTGGTTTTGTGATAACTCAACATTTGAATGGCCTTGTGTATACGGCGGCTTTAGATTAATGCGAGGTTRTATCAGATGAAGATTATAAACTCGAATGACGATGATTAGTGTCGATAAAATTCGTTGTTTAACTCGCATGTCATTGTATTTGTATTATTAATATTATTATTATTATTGTCATATTCAAAGCGTTACCTACTCATTGTCATGTAAATAAAATGTTTTAAATCTATTGTATGCGTATATATTATACGTGTTTTTCTCGTCGTGTAAATTGTGTTAATTATAAAACATATAATATTAATACAGAACTATGGTTCTGGGCGTTTTCGATTATGTTGTGCTTACGGTCACGTTGCTCGCTTCCGCCGCCATTGGAGTGTATTACCGACTCACTGGTGGAAAACAGCAAACGACACGGGTAAAACATAAAAATATTCAAGTATCGTACATAACATTACAATATATTTTTACTTTATGTTTTTGTCGTACGACCAAATATATACAATAAAACATATATTTAAATTATTTGAACGTATTCTTGTGACTGGAATAGTTGGGCAATACATCAACTTTAGTAGCTATATATACAGAATGATTCACCAAAAATGATTAAGCCAATTTTTTTAAATCCTAAATTTATTAAAAAGGACCATCTTTTTAAATACTCAGATTTTTTATAAAATTTAAGGAGTTTTTACAGGACTGTGAGAATACATACTTCTTTTTTTCTAACAAGAATTACTCTTTTTTTTCAAAGACATTATTAATCAGATTAATTTTTAAAGAACATTCATATATCATATGTCTAAACCAAAATACCCTCTGGTAGATTTAAACTATTGTTCTATCAAACTTTAAATACAAGAAATATTAGTCCACGATGATGGGTTTAGTGATATGTGAGTTTTTATCATTTGAAAATTATATTAATTAATTGTTATTGTTATTTAACTGTTTTAAAAAGAAACAATGATAGAATTTGAACATAAATGCCTATATTATTGCATACTGCATGCACGCTCCGAACTCGGTGGATGGTGACAGATTGACTTCCTAACTGCTATTATATACAGTTACAAGATATTAAAATGAGAAAAACGGTCTCCGTTTTCGTTGTGGACTCGTGGTCAGTCGACGTGCGACGATAACGTAAACATAATATAACAATAATCGCTAATAGGTTGTTGCCATCGTGGTCAGCACGAAGCATGACGATAACACAAAAATGAAAAAACATGCATACATAATAATAAATAATAATTAAAATCACTACATTATATTATATTATATATTTTTTTATTTTATTGATCATAAGCCCGGCAACTATGGCCATTAGCTGTTTGTAGGGAAGAAACGGTTGGTTTGCAACTTGTAATGTATGTATGACGAGGATTTGTTGCTAAAACCCCAGGTGGTCAGTGGTCACCCATCTGCAGGGTGTCAGCAACATCGGTCGGTATATACTTTCAGAGCGTTTCCACAGTTGAGCGTACGATTTATCAGTGGCGTATTTAGGWCAATAATGGGGGATATACGTTAGCAAACATTTAATTTACCTAAGGGGAGGAGGTAGTTCACTTACCATCGACATCACAATATTATAAATAAGTAACAAATAAGAAAACAAGGGGGATCTATCCCCCATATCCGTAAATGTGCCTCTGTTTATATATATAAATATGTATTTAATTATTCATCAATCTTATTTTTAGATTCTGAACGGAGTGATGAATGTATTGATTTTACAATGATGTGTGTTTTTTTTTATGTCTGTGTACAGCATAACTASTCGAAATAATGCTTCAATTTCAAACTTTGGGGGTGGTTTCCGATGGAAAAGTGAATATCCTTGGTGCATTATATAGGTTAAAAGTAAACATTTTCCAACTGTTTTCAAAAAAATCGAGAAAAATAAAAAAAAAGTGATATGGTTGTAATTCAAAAACTAATCACTTTAAATACTTTAAATTTTCACCAAATGTTTATGTTAGTATTATCTATATACAGTTTAATTTTCACAAATTTTTGAGTTATTTATAGGCCACTGAAATTTTCAATTTTTTTTTTTGAAGTGCAGGTAAAAAAATGTTGGACGAGCAAAAACACTAGAAAATTTAATACAAGGTTCCTTATGAGTTATTCTTATCGTAGCTAAAAAATCGTTAGTCACAATTTTTTTTTATAAGCGTTTATAGTTCAAATTTTTACGAAATCTGTCGAAAACGTGAACATTTGCAAGTAATTTTGAAGTTGAAAAATCATAATTTTTTTATGTTTATAACTAAGGATTAAAATTACAATACTAAGTTTTCCTTCAATAAGTAGCTATTGAGAAAACTCGAAGCATCATTATAGGAAAAATTTTAATTGCGTTTGAATTTTAAATTTTTACGAAAAAGCGTAACGATAACGATTTATCCTCAAACAATTTTAAATATTTGTTATTATTCAAAAAGTATACCTAAGTCGTAGATACTTGGAAATTTTACCGGTTATTAAGATTGGTATTTTCTTTACATGAGTTATTTTTTTTTAAATATTCTGACTTTTTTTGAGATATCTATAGATAACTGAATTTTTTTTTTTAAAGTCGATTAAATTTTTTTGGCTCAATAAAAATACTTGAAAATGTAATACAAAGTTTCTCATAAGTTATTCTTATAGTGATTAAAAAATGATAAGAATACATAGGCACAATTTTTTTAATTAGCATTTGAAGTTCAAATATTGACAAAAAAATTCGTCAAAACCATGAATTGAAATTTTGTAGTTCAAAATTCATAAAATTGTTTGTATTTTTATCTAAGGCTAAAAAAATTCAACACTAAGTTTTCCATAGGTTTTGCTTCAAATAGCTATAGAGAAAGTTTGAAGCGTCATTATAGGAAAAATGTTTTGAGCGTTTGAGTTTTAAATTTTTTATGAAATCGCGTAACGATAACGATTTATCCTCAAACCAGGTATATGTATATCTTTGATAATATAAGGTATTATGAATTATGATTTATGATAACTACATGCGATGTTTTTAGAAAAATTGATTAACCATGCCTTATGCAAAATKCGTCCTAATTGAAAAATAAAATATTTGTTTCAAAATAGAATATATATGACAATATTTAAATATAATGTATCCTAGTTTGACAAATCATCTCCGTTCAGAATCGTTTTTCGTATACAATGACACCTATCATTGCATTCAAATTTAATCTAACCTAGTCAGAGGTCCATCCCACCCCCTAATGTACAGCAGAGCGGTACCCACTTACCTAGATTTTTTATTTTATTTAAACCGGCATAAATGGGTAATACAGCTAGTTAATTGTTATTTTTTGTTAATTTGCTAATGGTGTGTGTCACATTGTAAATTACATATTTATGCACACACATACACACATATATTATTTATTATATTTCTAGGAATACATGTTTGGAGACAAGAAATTGTCCATTATACCTGTGGGGTTTTCGTTAATGGCCAGTTTCTTGTGTGCTACAGCCATGTTCGGGCTAAGCGCCGAAAACTACTTGAGAGGAACACAATTTATGGTCATTAACGTATCAAACATTATCGGCACACCTATCGTTGCCTATGTTTTCCTACCAGTATTCTATAAACTCGGATATTTATCAGTCTACCAGGTAAATTAGTATTATACTATTATGTCAAAATCAATTAAAATTTATTTAGTAATATTTTGTTATCATCTACAATTAAACAATGTAATCAGTAATCATATAGTAGCAATATCTCAATTAAGTAGGTACTGAATAATATATAGGGCTCGGGTTTGAAAGCAAATACTTCTTTTTTTTATATATGAGATAGAAATTTAATTTATATATACAAAGATTCGTTTCACGTCATTCTCACTCCAAATAAACCAATTTATTTTGGCTTTTTTTGTATAAATGATTTTTTTCCTTTTTTCAATTATTTCAGGTGTGGAATTTGTATTTTATGTTTATTATAATATAGTAATAAAAAAATTTTGATTTAATTCATAAGAAAATCTGGATTACGCAGTACGGACTAATGTGTATAAAAATATTTGATCAGACAATAGAGTCAATTTCACTACCTTTTCTGAAAATCTTACCAAATACATAGTAGTGAATACTTTTTTTAATTTAAATTAATTTTCAATTTTTTATTCAGTTTTACAACTAATTCATATTTTTTTTTTTTTTGTCATGCTTTATTTTCGCAAAATAATGTTATGCTTTTTTTGTTATTTATTATGCTTTAAAAACTGAACCCTAATAATATACAATTATAAATTAAAATGATTTAATATTTTAGTGATACTGTTGGAAAATGTTTAACATGATACGCAGGTATTTAATAAATCATAATTAATTTTTTTCTTTATTTAAATTTTAAGTGCTTACTTATAAGCTGGTAATTAAATTTTTCAAATACAAATGTTTCGCGATTTAAATTAACGTTATCGCATACATATTATTATGGTATCGCTATTATTATGATATGTGTTTAAAATAAAGTAAAATAAGTGCTTTGAAAATTGAAATACGTATATACTGTAAAATTAATGACAGGAAACTGAATTTATCAAAAATATACAAATCCCGGATACATATAAGCAGGATTCGGGACTTATAGCATTTGCATACTTTTTTTATTTATTGTAAAATGTAGCCGAGTACGAAATAAAATTAATTTCTCAATGCCGTGATACCAAATATAAAATTTGAATGTGCATAATTTTGCATATTTCATACATTTTGCAGGAAAGTACTTATTTTTACGTTATTGTGCTTATTTTGCATAAATTTGGAAAATTATCCAAAATTTCAACCGATCTAAAAAAGAAAGTAGTAATGCAATCTTATGTACCTATTTACTATAGTTTAGTACTATACATACTATATAGTATAGTTACCATTATTATATAGTTAACGAATAAAATTAAAAAAACTCGGAAATTCAAGAAATAATCAGTTGATTTTTTTTTTCAAATTTTTTATGTGACATTAATTGTAATTAATAATTAGGTATTAATAAATTAATAAAATAATTAAATGCATATTCTAGGGTTTTTAAGTGCTATAAGTCCTGCATATAAGAAACATTATTATGGTAGCTAGCTAATATATTTAGAATAATTCTCAATATTCTATATTTCTATACATAACTTAGTACATTATTTCTATTAATTTAAAACTATTGAATATTTAATACCTAAGTATCACATTAAAAAATGAAGCTTTCCATGTTATTTTTGGAATACCTAATTGATAATTGGTGTAAAATAATTTATTTACACGCCATTGGTTTCATAGTAGTTAGTTTTTAGTTCTCTCAAACTTTTCGCTGAAGTTTGCTCGGGTAGTAATTTTCAATGGAATTTGCCCGGTTGAAGTTCTTGTAACTATGTAATGTTTCTTTTGTACATTTCTTTAAGCACATGTAATTGAATGACGTCATTCAAGCTTGATCGGGAAATGTGTAGGTAGCTCAAAAGAAAACCAAAACATAAGTAATAAGAAAACAGCCTATCCATCACACATTATTTTAGAAAACTAGCATTTATAATAATATTCGGTATATTAGCATAACATTAAAGTAAACACCGTAAAAACTTACCAACTAACATAATATAATATTACTCAAACATGTATGTTATACATGTATAGACTGTATATATAATATATATATATTTGTAAAAAAATAATTTTCTAAAAATATTAATAAATTATTTGAATTAGAAATGATATCGATAAAAATAAATATATTATTATTATTATTTCAGTATTTGGAAGAGCGATTCGGCAAGTCAACCAGAATCTTTGCGTCTGTGGCGTTTAGCATCCAGACGGTGCTGCGAACTGCACTGGTACTGTACGCGGCCTCGCTGGCTCTGAACGCGATTGCTGGATTTTCGCAGACTGCATCCATGGCGGTCGTTGGCATTTTGTGCACGTTTTACTCGACTGTTGGCGGCATCAAAGCCGTAATCGTCGGCGATTTGTTTCAGGTCTGTCTTGGGTCTTAGGTTATTGATCCTACTTTTAAAGTAATTAAATTGTAACGATTTTATGACGGTGATTATATTAGTGTTTCATACTCGTATCGTTATATATGTTTTTCGTTGTGATTGTAAATGTTACGATAAACCTAATCCATCCGAGTAAAGCGCTACTATTTATATCAGTGTTCTAAAAATACATACCTAAAGATTTATCAAATTGTTCTTTGATCTTTTTTGTAAATTAGTTTTGAATTTTACATTGATTGCAATTTTATACGATATTATCTAGGTTCCTCATTGTCCATTGGCGACATGAAAAAATGTGTTATCAAATATTTGATTGTAAATAACAAAACTGTGATGTACACAGGTTTAATTAAAACGTCCATGTACGAATTGCTATTGTCGTCCATTACGATCAATAAGGCGCATGTTAAAACCAAATAGTTTTGTGCACATATTAAGTCAGGGACTACGAACGTAACGTGACTGTTACACAAATAACCCTCCTTAAGTCCCCTCTGAATTAGTTTTTTGAATTGTATTTTATTTAATTTTGAATTCATTACTTGATGATATTTGCACCGAGAAGTGCAATATCAATATTAATGTAGCAATAATCAAATTCAAATATCATATTATAATATATTTAAGGAATTGACGGATTGTATTAAGCAATTTATAATAGGCTTACAATTTCCATTTACCTACTCGTCAATTAAAATTATATTCATAATACATTAATACCAATGTAATGTATGTACCTATTATATGTACCTTATGATAACATGCTGGAGTACTTATTGAAATATAATTCAATTGCTATAATTAAAGGCAAAGCATAAGCTTATAAATTATTTATATTTATAATATAAATTTGACTCTGATATCTAAAATGTTATAAACAATAAAATACACTACTTATTTAATGTTCATGTTACATTTTTGTGTTATTCCTATTAATATTCCTATAATTAAATGTTATTTATATTTCACCATATTGATTATAAATATTTAATATTATAAAGAATTAGTGGAATTTTATAATTAAAATCAATGACCATTGATTGGAAATAACATTTTCTGAAACAACTCCGAAATTATTTTCCGATATTCATTAATTATTTTAAATGTAATAATCTACTTCAATTATTATTATACATATTTAATAAAGATTAAAGTTTAAATATTCTTATGACGATATTCAAATTTTATAAAGCTGTACTTAAGTACGCTGTAGGTATATACGAAGTCTGGAAATAACGCGTATAACATAAAAAACAATAATGATTATTTTATTTTCTCTTATTTGACCAAAGTTCAAATTACATTTTGAAATAATTATTATATAAATGTTTTCATTTTTGAATCTTTGAAATGATGCAATAAGCAATTCTTGGTTCAATTTTGCTAATGACTTAACATACCATATTACATAACAGTCTCTGACGCCAGTGATTAATTTGTTCTAAAGTTTGTTCTCTATTAGTAAATTACTTATTGTTGTTAATAATGAGTAGAGTACTATATTATATATAGAACTCGAGCTTATAAAAATATTTGTTTCTAAGAAATTAATTCCCAATCCCAAGACACGTGTTTTAGTTCAAATTTTACATTGAATTTGTGCTTTAAATTAAACATATACGTAGAAATCAAAAAAGTAAACATAACATCATCGCATTGCTTATACCTACAATTATGTAATAAGTTGTTTAATAATCAATTTTAAAATTATAGACATTTTAATGAATACATTATAAACCGTAATATATATAATCCGTCATTTTAAAAGAGTTGTAATATTCAAAGGTACCTATATCAACTCATTACGTTTAATAATGCCAACGATGATTTAAATTAAATTATGTATTTGTCTGAATATAAGAAATCTTTAGTTGAAAAAAAAAGTTTTTATCATCAATTAATTTCTAAAAGGACGATGAAGAGATGTCGAAGGAAATACCGTATTTATAGACATTTTGTGTAAAATGTTTTTTTTTGTCAAATACAATGTAATATTTAGAATCGAAAATATTTTAAGTCAACTGTCGTTCTAACTTTTAATCAAAGTAATTGGCATTTTGTCAATAAAATGGGCTATAAATAATATTACTACAGTTAATATTAGTGATTTTTTTTTCAAAAACCGTCTATTATCCTCACGAATATGTATAATTATAAATGGGACTAGGTATATAATGAAATGCGAGAATCATAAAATAAATCGTACATTATACTAAAACAACATATTTTAATTAAAATGGGTTTACAATACTTTAAYATTGTTTTATCTAAAATGTAATAACTGTTTTTGATTTATGCAGTCCTTGCTTATGTTTGGGTCCATTTTCACGGTTATTGCGGTAGCAGCGGCTAATGTGGGCGGACTGTCAGGAATCTGGAGGATTGCTAACGATTACGGTCGCGTTGAACTGTTCAAGTGCGTTGATACGAGTGGGTACACAGTATATAGGTGCGTTCTCTAATACTAATATACATGAACGTTCGGACAGCTTTCAGATCGACCCTACAGTCAGGCACAGCTGGTGGTCACTGATGATAGGTGGAATATTCACGTACGTGTCGGTATACGGTGTCAATCAAGTGCAGGTGCAACGTTACCTAACCATGAAGGACTATGGTACCGTGGTCAGGACCCTGTGGTTCTCTTGGCCAATAACCGCGTTCCTGTCACTGTCCATGTGCTTCGCGGGCCTGGCCATATTCTCCAAGTACCGGGACTGTGACCCGATCAAGTGGGGACCCCTCTATTTTGCATTCGTCTATAAAATGACTTACTGATAAGGTGTTTGATTTTCGCGTGTGTTTTTGTGTATTAAGGGAGGGTAGAATAACTAGCGGCGATCAGCTGATGGCTCTGTTCGTGATGGACACAATGACCGACATACCTGGATTAACCGGCCTATTTTTGGCGGGTGTATGCTCATCGGCGCTGTGCTCCGTGTCCGCAGCCCTAAATTCTCTGGCAGCCGTCACACTCGAGGACTACGTCACAGTAATATTTTACATTAATTTTTTTATCTCATCTGTGCTCTATTTCAAAACATGTATAAACTATTATTATACTTGGAAGTAAAATAAACAATAATCACATGAAAAAAGTGAGAAATATAAAAAAAAAATGGTTGATATAACATCCAAAATATACAATTAGATATTAAATGTAAACAGTAGTACCTGGCGCAATTGGATTGGCTCCCCAATACAGGTAGTCAATATTGTACTCTAAATAAGTACTTCTGAATTGGCTTCCTACTAATTTTTTTCAAAAATACATATATTGGTTACCAAAACGTTGTTAATATTTTAATGTTAGGTAGACATTATGTCCTAGAGTAGTATAATACATTTTTATAAAAGTTAATACTAGATGTAATKTAGAATAATATTATAATAGTAATTTATTAAATTTTAATTTTATTTTATGCATAATATTATTATTAAGTATTATTGAAGTTCATTATATGTAATTATATGTAATTAAATAAATATGTATAGGTATAAATATAATAATGTAGGTATATCCTTCGCTATACTATATTTGAGTGCAAATTTCCAGGCTATATTAATAATATGAGTTTGATGTCTTAAAAGTAAACACATATAATATGAGAACACCGGATTAAATAATAATATTTTACAGCTTAGGCCAATTCAAATATACATTTTTCAGGAGCCAATTTAATGGTCAAATTCATATTTACCCAAAATTGGAAGCCAATTCAATAGAGCCTGTTGTACCTATGTATACAAACACTTTTAATCACAGGTTGAAATATCTATCTATATAATATATTATATATGTTACCGGAAATGTTGACAATTTAGGAAATGATGACAGTTCCTAGKAAATGATGACAATTCCTAATAGCGGAAGGAAATGATATCATCGCCTAGGAATTGTCATCATTTCCGTACTTTTTTAGGCAATATTATCACTATAGGGCTCGGATGTTTATGAAATTGTATATTTTTTTCTATTTATTCAATTTAATGCTAACCTAGGTACAAATTTAATTCATGCTTTACTGAATCAAATAATTTTTTTTTATTTTTCATATTTTTGTATTTTTATTGGCTAAAATACATATTTTATAATTTTATTTATTTATATTAGAGTAGTTTTAAGTGCATAAACATTCGAGCCCTMGTTATCACGTATCGGTTCTTACACGAAAGCATTGACGATTATGATGTTGCAGGTCATGTGGCTTTACAATGTAAAGCTATTATAACGATAACTATTAACTAACTCGGTACGGTGAGATACTAAAAACCATTATACTGCCATTACTGTCAATATTGTCCGTGTTCTATAAAAAAATATTAGGTGGGTAATGACTGATATTTTTAAAATGGTTGATTGAAAAATGACATGGCTATCACATAGGTATCGCATAATAACATTATAATAACGTACCATTTACTTGTTTTTATTAAAAGTGTCCCTCTGTCCATACAACACTGTCCGTTTAGTAGTGTGTGCCTATCTTCTTAGTGCAGTACGTATTATTTCGTTAAAATGGATTTGAATAAAATGCGAATTGAATTTAATGAAGTGATTAAAAAAAAAATATTTAATTTTTTATTAATATTATTGATCATTGATTATTTAGTAGTGTAATAGCAGGGTAATTAATAGTTGTGACAGATCACAGATTAAATTAAAATATCTAAGAAAAATATATATAGCATCTTTGCCTGATATCGTTAGGAAATGATAACATGAACTAGGCAATGATATCCTTCCGCTATTAGGAATTGTCATCATTTCCTAGGAACTGTCATCATTTCCTAAATGTCAACATTTCTGGTAACATATATATCGCTTATATACCTTCTGTATATTTGTACTCATCATAGTGCTTGTCCTATAATATTATTATTTTTATTAAAACATTGTGAAACGATAATATCATCAGAATTAGTTTCGGATATGTATGTATGATTGTAGCCAATGATGAACGTCGATATACCAGATGAGAAACGCGTCCTGTGGCTCAAAGTCCTAGTTATCGTCTACGGGATTCTATCGATACTGTTAGCGTTTTATGCGCATTTTCTGGGACCGCTGCTGCAGATATCGATGACAATTTTGGGAATTATTGGAGGACCTATGTTGGCGGTGTTCACTCTCGGTATACTCGTACCGTACACAAACCAAAAGGTAACCTTTAATTGTGATTCGTTGTACGCGCACATTCGTAACATCCAATAATACTAGAGACTGATTTAAATAACACGCAAAGTGATAAAAATTAAATTAAAATAATAGACTAGAAATGAAATTTGCAAGCGTATATTAGTCGTCTTTATAGAGAAGGGGCAGAAGGGACTGCACGGTGCCTTTAAAATGTCCGGGAAAGATTTTATGATTGCTATACATCGGTTTTATAATGCTTTATTATTTATTATATCATCATCTGTTTTCAAAACTATTTTTCTAAAAAATGGAACAATTGTTTGAACGTTTCGCAAAAGACCTTATGTGGTAACTATTATGGTATACTTTTGAGTTATAAATAATTATACTTGGAAGTGAGCTATCATTGATATCATTGTCTTTGAAAGAAATTATATACGTTAGTTATTGTAATGTGTCCAATTTTTMTATTATACTTAATAAAAATTAAATATGAAAAAGTGGCACATAATTTTAGAGTGCCATTTTTCCTTGTACTTCATCGGGTACTATTCGTTTATTAATATTATTCAATTTTAGAGTACATTAAGCACCGTATTTTATTATTTTAGTAAAACCATAATTAATGTATTATAATATTTCTAAAATAACTAAACACMTTTTCTTATAAATGTACGCATTTTAAACGAAATTTATAAATWTTTTATACACACTATAAAATAAATGATGGCTTTACTAAAATAAAACTGTAAAAATAATTTTCTTAATTTATTTTTCCTACTTAATACTCTGAGCATAAAAAAATTAATAACAAAGTGAGAAAAAATAATCAATTTTACAGTATGGTACACTATTTTTTTATATTTTCAAAACTACTAAGTAGTAAGTACCAACAATAATTATGTGAGAAATGATTTTAAGTTAGAATTATATTTACATTAGTGTATTGTGCGATTCGTTTTTCGTTGATTTTGTAACTAATAACTTATAAGTAATAACCATCATCTGAGAATCAGAAAAAATTAAACGAAATTAACATTTTTTTTAAATAGAATACATTTTTTTAACTTTATTTTTTGTATTTTTTTTACACTTCACATTTATACAATTTTTTTTTACACTGATTGATTTTCTTAATTTAATTACAATCTTTAATAATTATAAAACTGAATTCACGCATGGATAATTATATTAGTTTTAATGATATTTACCAAAAATAGCTATAAATTCTATGATATAATATAAACAAATAATATATTATAATCAGTAGATTATCAGCTTAAAAATTAATGTGACTTTAGTAGTAGCGTGCGGTGATTTACTTTGCACTTTTAAGCGTATTTGGTTATCTATCAAATTTTATAAATTTTAAAGCGTGTAATATAGGCTGACAGAGTATCGATGATGATCCGACGGTCATACTTGCATATTTTTTTCAGTTCAGTTACTATGTTATTATAACGCTGCATACTTATAATTATGTGTTATGTACAGGGTGCTTTAATGGGTTTGGTCACAGGCCTCGTGTTTTCATTTGTCTTGGGACTAGGAGGACCCAAACCACCGGTCCACAATTTGCCCACTTACACCAACGGGTGTACACCAACCTCGTTTTATGATTTCGACCTAAACGCTTCGTCTACTGCCCCTTTAATATCAACATCGACGACCACACTAGAGTGAGTATCACTATGTATTATTTTTCGTGTACACAACCAACAGTAGGGCTTAAAATGTAATACAATTATTATAACGATACTTTATATATTTCTTGAATTGAGTTCAAATGATCAAGATTTTATTGGATCAAGTGTAACATATGAACATGGAGACTTCATTGGAATGTGGACTCCCCATCTCCATATTATATAATGTTAGGCCAATCGATACATCCTATGTGTGTCGTATCACTTAWCGTGTAAGAAGTATCATCTACATTACCTTATAAAATATAGTTTATTAGATCAAGACATACGTATGCTTACCGAGTAATCACTATATTTAAGGTAAAACTAAATATTTTGAGTTGATGAGCATTTACATAATTGAGAGTTTTTCGTTCAGTGTCCTCTTTATTTTTTCTACTCGTGGACAACACTATCGCTGTAGTCCGCTCGGCCACTCTGCCCCCCCCCCTTTAAATTAAACAATATTTAAATTAATCCAATGTGAATTAATATGGATAGAATTATAAAATGATACAGCTCTACAGATTTTAAAATACATACAAAATAATATATGATATATGTATAATAACTATTATATTCGTAAGTATTATTTTCAAAATTATTATCACTGAATTTAATATATTTTCAATGCATTTTTAGAATTAACTAAATTTATTGGTTGAAGTTAATTTAAGTTTTTAGTACCTATTCATTAACTTTATTTAAAATTAATYGATGTATTAAAAATGTCTTTGTATAAAATTAACTTTGATGTTGTGTAAAAAAAAAAATACTTAACTTAACTAAGTAAAAATTATCATTAACTCGCCCAACCTTGATAAWAAGTCTATTATGTAGTAAAAAAACTTCGAATTAAATTAAATATATATTTGGACGAATAGTTATAGTATTAATTTAAATCGTGATCAAACTGTATGCAGAAATCATGTAGAATAATATCGATATCAACACATTTTCTGGATTTAGTACCTACATGAATATTCGATGCTAATACTTTACTATGTGTTAGAATTTATTGCTAATTATGTATAAAATTTAAGCATCTATAGTAAAATGTTATTTAATATTATTCATATTATTCATCTCATTTTATTTTTATGTATATGTATATTTTAAAATTTTTTCTAATGATTATTTTTATTGTGTAGGCGTGTATTATTAAATAATAACTAATAAGTATTATTTTAATATTACAACTTTTAATATGAGTGTAAAAGATCAACAATCAATATAATAATTTTTTTTCGACATCAAAGTATGAAATTTCTATAGAACTAAAGAAAAAATTGTACATTATAACTATTTACATCTACATTTATATTTACACATTTGTATTCGGGATATCCTGTATCATATTGTACTTAATTAAATAATATCATTTTAGGATTCATGAAGAAAATTACATGTATTTGTATAAGATAAGTTACATGTATTATATCGTCATTGGTTTCGCAACTACCATATTAGTGACTTTGGTGGCAAGCTTGTTCTTCGAATCAAATGTAAATACTCTTGATCCGAAACTATTTTTCTCGGCTAATCCAAAGGGTGTAGAAACACAAGTTGAAACRAGACAAAAAAGACCTTCAACAGTTTCAAAAACCGTCACTTTTTCCATTAATTCGTAAAAAAATCATTGTTTATTATTATTATTAATATTAATAATATATTTATGATACCATATGATAAGTATTTTTATTGTTTGATTTTATTATTCTAACTCAAAAGTGATTTAATTATTTATAATATGTTGCTAACATAATTCATATATACTTTTAATTTATTAGTTATTTAAGCTTTAAAAGTATTGGGTTTTATTAAACGCAATACTAAACAGTTTTCTTCTGCMCGTTGTCTCTGAAAATTATACTTCTCTTTAGTACGCTCTATTATATTAGAATATGGTGCGGTAGTATAGCATCCCTACCTAGCCAAAGACGAACTAAGAATCGAGCGTGTACAAAATAGGTTTCTTTCCTACATTGCCTACATAATGATGATACCTCACCCTGCACATGACTATTCCCTAATACGTAGTTCATTGGGAATACCAATGCTGTCAACTCGTCGACAAGATGCCGATGAATTCTTTATAACCTCGCTCCTAGGTGGCACCATATAGATGCACCCGATCTCCTCTCTAAAATATGTTTTCGTATCCCTTCCTTCTTCTCCAGAAATCACTCACTTTTCCAAGTTCCAATTCACAATGCATTATACAGACATAATCACCCCTTGCACAGAATACTTCGTAATCTGAACTATCTTAATTTTGATTTTAATATGTAATTAAATATACTGGTTATAAATATGTTGTACTATAGTTTTATATTATTAAATAAAGGTATTACCATTTAGTTTATATTATGTTGTATTTTTCCATATTATAATCTTTTATTWTTTTTGTATTTGTATTATTATACTATTATTGTATCTATTAACTTTTAACTTTAACTTATTCTGATATTTTAAAATTGCCGTTTGGCGTTTATATATTATAAATAAATAAATAAATAAATAAATATACGTATAGGTTACAATATTTTGCATTAACGGTATGCACATTATCTTCAATATAGCTAGTGTATGATTGAGTTGATGGGGATAATACATAACAGTAACATATTATAGAAGTATCTACATGGACGCAACTAGGATAAAATTTATGGGAGTGCTAAAATCTAAAGCACAATACGAGAACCCCCCCCCTCTTGTTTTAAAATTAGAAGTGTTACTGTCACCGATAATGTAAAAAATCGGTACAGAAAATTTGGGAGTGCTAATTTTGATTTTGGGAGTGCTAAGCACTCCCAAGCCCCCCCTAGTTGCGCCCATGTATCTACCTATATATAATATAATATATTAATGCATTAATTAATAAATAAATATTATCTAAGTAGTAATTAACATATATACATTAGTTAAGAAGTTATATTAAATAATATACATACCAAATAGTTAAATTTACATATGCAGTGCTAGACAAGTTAACGAATTTGCTTACCTTATTATGTTAAGTTAATAAAAGATAAAATAAGTTCATAATTAAGCAAAAACTAACTCAGTTAACAAATTAATTTATATTTATATTTTGAACATAATTAATATATTAGAGATTGAAAAGTTAAAAATCTACTCCTATATTATGACAGGTAATATTATTATTATTATTATTTTATGCAGGTTGATATAATCAATAAAGAAAATCTTGAATGATGAATTTTTAAATAATTAAGTGGTTGGTACGTATTTTAGATTCTAAACGAA